ACAAAGAACTACAAAATTTTATATACATAAATCTAGTAAAATTCATTTTAAGCAAAACTTCGTTATATCAAAAAAAATTCATTATAGAAAAAATTCGTTATAAAGAGAGTCATTTTATATATAAATTTTTTTAACTTTAATTTGTTAAACATAGTATGAATTTTTAATTACTAAATTTAGTATAGTAAGGGTTTTTTTATATTTAAAAATCTATCTAATACTGAAAATCTATTGTATTGTAAAATCTGTTATATCAAAATTCATTGTAAAAAGAGTTGACTGTATATGTTGAAAGTATTGTTTACTATATTTTTATAATTTTCATTTATTATATAAATATATTTCTAAAATAATAATTATAAAATATCCAATATGTTCAAAATATGCTTTAGCCAAAGTCTTACCAATCGTCATATAACTAAAATTTAATGCATCTACTGGATTTTTTACAGATTTTACCTAATCGTGATATTAACGTAAATAATTTTTGATATAAAAAAATGCTTGCTCAATCTACAATAATACAATTAATTAAAAATTATAATATCAAATGAAATAACTAAATTCTTACATATTGGATTGTAATCAGAAGAATAGGGAGGTAAAAATTCAAGTTGCATTCCTTTTTTTTTACAAATATCTCATAAATATTGACTCTTATGTATAGATGCATTATCTAAAATTAAAACACTGTATTGTGCAGGATATGGTAATATTTTTAGCAGCTTATTATAAAGAATACATTAAATGTGTTAAATTTTATATTTGCTTTAGTATGAAAATTTGTTAAAAAGAACATACCAAAATATTTTCAATAAAATATTCATAATCATCAGATTTCATCGATCCTTCTTGAATGCCATATGCTAATAGGCCATTTATACACAATATACCTTCAATTGTAAATCTCTGTCCTCTAACAAAAAATGTAGATTTTTTTGTATAATGTCTACTAATATTCCATCCATACCAGTGTGATAAAGTTCTTCTATCATAAGCTGATTCATCAGAAAAAACTAATTGATCGGGTGAATACTGAGACATATATAAAATAAATTCTGCGTGTTCATTTTTTTTCTCTCCTGGGTAGGTTTAGATAACTACAATACATAATATATATAATGATTAGAATATAAATAATAAATGTAAAATATTATTGTTATAAATATTTAGTTATACTTGTTTATGTGTATATCTAAGGCAATGTATTGCTCTCTATATTAAATTGAAATCAAAGCTTCATTCTAATCAAAGTTCCATTTGAGATTGCAATTTCCAAATATACCAATCTACTTTTTTTTGAGAAGTACTTCAAGATATTTCACATCATTTCTAAAAATTCTTGGTCTTTCACGCAAAGTTAAAATATTTTTTACACATCCGTATTTTTTAAAAAGGTAATAAACACAGCGTACAGTAGTTTTGCTAATTCCTAAATGTCTAGCAATTTGGCATTCTGATAAACCTACCAATGATTTTTTAACTATTTGTCAATGGGTATGCGTAGATAGTTCAGTTATTACAAAAATAAATAAATAAAAATAAAGTCTATATGTTTGTTTGTTTATTGTTATTGTTTAACCAAATTATAATGTATTACATAAACATTCATATAAGGAAATACTAGTCCTGTTCAATTCTAATCTATTTTGATCCAATCCAATTTTTTTGAAATTATTTTAACCAATTAAAAAATGGTAAGAATTGAACAGATAAATTCCAAATTGATCTGTTCCATTTTAATTTTAACCAATCATTTCAATTAAACAAGATTAAAGTTCTGAATTAGTCGAGTTGAGTCAAGTTTAAAGACCAATTCTATTTGACTCATTTTTTTTGAGTCGAGTCGAGTCAAATTAAATTTATTTTATAAAATCTTTCAATTTGATTTGATTTGAATTATATAAATTTTAAACTCAATTCAATTTGACTCAACTTGATTTTAACTCGATTAGATTTTGACTTGAATTTATTCAAATTGAGTCAAGTTTAAATCAAGTTATGAGTCAATTTTAAATTTTTATAAACATTTAATTAATAAAAAATAAAATAAAAAAAATAAAAAATAAAAAAAAATTAAAAAAAAATAATAAAAAAAATGAAAAGATTGGGAGGAAGGGAAGGGGAAAAGGAAAAGAAGGGGAAGGGGAAAAAGGGAAGCGAATAATTCAAGTCATTGTTCTTCTTGAATGATTTTTTTTATTGTTTAAGTCAAATGATTCAGATCATCATTCTTCTTGAATAATTTTTTTATCGTTCAAGTCAAATGATTCAGATTATTGTTCTTCTTGAATAATTTTTTTTATCATTCAAGTCAAATGATTCAGGTCATCATTCTTCTTGAATGATTTTTTTTTATCGTTCAAGTCGAACAATTTATCATTATTCTTCTTAAACGATTTTATTTTATTATTTAAGTCGAATGATTCGTCATCATTTTTCTTGAACGATTTTTTTATTGTTCAAGTCAAATGATTCGTCATTATTCTTTTTGAATGATTTTTTTTATCATTCAAGTCAAACAATTTATCATCATTCTTCTTGAACGATTTTTTATCGTTCAAATCAAACGATTTATTATTGTTCTTCTTGAACGATTCAGATCATCATTCTTCTTAAATGATTTTTTTTATCGTTCAAGTCAAACAATTCAGGTTATCATTCTTCTTGGATGATTTTTTTTTATCATTCAAGTTGAATGATTTGTCATCATTCTTCTTGAACAATTTAATTTTTTTATTGTTCAAGTTGAACGATTTTTTATCATTCTTCTTAAACGATTTTTTTATTATTCAAGTTAAATGATTTCTTATTGTTCTTTTTGAATGACTATTTTTCTATAGGACTGTGGTCCTAGAACTGCAGTTTCAGGATCTGGTTCTAGAATCCAGTCTTAGAACTCAAGTCCTATGGACTGGGAGTTTCAGGACCAGACTAGAACTAGACTGGATTTTAACATTCTTAAAAATAATACTATTTCAAGTCAATTTGAGTCAATTCGAATCAAGTCGAGTTTAAATCGAGTTGAGTTAAATATTTAACTCAACTTGAATTTAGCTTGACTCGCAAATCATTGAGTTAAAAAAACATAAACTCAACTTGATTTAAACTCAATTCAGCTTATCTGACTCGTGAGTTAACTTGACTTGTCTAGAACATTATAAATTTATATTTAAAATTATATTTTAGTATTTTTATTAATTTTTTTATTAAACTAAAATTAAATACAGAAAATTATTAGTAGAAAATAGAGTTAAAGAATATGGTATTTCATAACAATTAAATGCATTTATTGTATTTATTAATATTTGTAATATTATTAATTTTGTTATTGAGATATAGAATTAGGTTTATTCTATTACAATTAAAATTGCAGGTTAAAAGCTAGTATTTTTTTTATCAGATAATAGACAAAAGCTTAATTTTGATAGAAATAATAATGAAAAAGATTTAAATAATTCTATACAGAAAATATTATATGATAATATTTTACCTATATTAGAATATATTAATGTTGATAAATTAAACAAAGATGAAGTTTTATTAAATGATAATAAAATTGTTGAAACTGTGAGACTAAGATATAATGTAGAAAAAATATAAGATAATGAGAATAAATTTGTTTCTAATATTTCTTTAAGTAATACATTGAATAATGTTAAAAAATTAATTATTTTTTAAAATTTCCCATTAGAAAATTATGAAATTATTAATGATAAATTAAAGGTTTTAAAAAGAATTAAGAGAAAAGTCTTAAAATTTAAATCTGAATCTGTATTTCAATTAAAATTAGATGAATTTATAAATTTTGAATAGGAATTTTATTAATAATTTGTAAATAGGAATGTTAAAAAGTCCTATAGGATTAGATCCTAAACAATTCTATAAAGTCTAGTCTATTTTAAAATCTTTTAAATTATAGAATTATGATTCTAAAACTGTGGTCTTATAGAAATTAGAACTTGTAGTTCTAGAACTGCGATTCTATAAAAATTAGAACTTGTAGTCCTAAGATTGCAGTCTTATAGAAAATAATCATTCAAGTTAAATGATTTATCATTATTTTTCTTGAACAATTTTTTTTTATTATTTAAGTTAAACAATTCATTATCATTCTTTTTGAATGATTTTTTTATCATTCAAGTCGAATGATTTGTTATCATTTTTTTTAAAAAATTATTTCTTTATCATTCAAGTCGAATGATTTGTTATGATTTTTTTAAAAAAATTATTTCTTTATCATTCAAGTCAAATGATTTATCATCATTCTTTTTAAATGATTATTTCTTTATCGTTTAAGTCAAATGATTTATTATCATTTTCTTAAATGATTATTTCTTTTATTGTTCAAGTCAAATAATTACTTATTATTCTTCTTGAATAATTATTTTTTATAAGACCACAGTCCAAAGACTGCAAGTTCTAATTTCTGTAAGACTAAGTTTTAGAATTGCAAGTTCTAATTTTATAGGATTGCAGTCTTAGAACCTAGTTCTAGAATCTAATTTAGGACTTAAGTTCTATGGACTGGGTCTTCTTTAAGACTGGAAGTTTTAAGACTAAACTAGAATTGGATTGGATTTTAACATCCCTACTTATAAATATAATATAATATGTAATAATATATTTTTTGTTAATAAATAAAAAATTTATTATAAAAAAAATTAATAAACTGAATTATAAAAATTTATATATTAAGTTCTGTATAATAAAAATATTTGTCTTATTGAATACTTGATATAATAATACAAAATTACCTGAATAGAAGATTCATTATATCAAATTCTAACTGTATTACTTTTGATGAAATATTATTAACTATTTTAAGAAATTATTTAAATATTTATATAAAACTATTAATTATTTCTTGAACATTAAAGTTTTAGCAAATTTATATTTTAATTAAAATTGTTTACTTCTATAAAAATTCAAAATAACATATTAAATTAATTAACTTTATTATATTATTAAAATTAGGATTTTTATTTAAAATACAAATTGCAATTCAAATATTTAAAAGTTTTTTAGATATCAAAAGTCATTTTAAATATCAGAAATTAATTTTGAATATTGAGATTCATTTCAATTATTAATAATTGATTTTATCTATTAATTAATTATTTTTTTTTATTTTTTTTTTTTTAATTTTTTATTTATCTTAATTTATTTTTTTTATTAATTTAGAAGTAGATATATATTTACTGATCTTAAAAAATAATTAATATCTAATACAATTTATTTACAAAATAACATAAATTTATAATATTTGTATTTAAGAAATTATAATAATGTAACATAAATATTTTGAATTAATTTTTGATATTTAAAATCAATTTAATATCTGAAATAATTTTTAATATTCAAAATTAATTTGATAAATAAAATAATTTTTGATATTTGTTATTTAAAATCAATTTTAATATTTAAAATTAATTATATATTTTGAATATTTAAATTTATGTATTTATAAATAAATATTTGAATATTTTATTTTCAAATAAAAATCCTATTAAAAATAATAATATTTAAAAATTTACAATATTATTATTTTTGTTTTAAATATATTCAAATTATTTGAAATAATTTATTTGAACTTTTATCAACTTTAATTTCATATTCAAATCCATTAATTTTTCTTTTAAATTGTTTTAAAGTATTTATAAATTTATAAAATAATTATGTAATTTATTATCTAATTGATATATATAGTTATAAATATTATTATAAATTCGTATTTTCAATTTTTGATATTTTTGTTTAAGAAAAGATTTAATAGTTAATATATTATAACCTGCTTGATGATAAATTTAATTTGGTCTTTAATTTCTTGTAAAATTATTCTTTGGTTTTAAAAATTTTTTATATCAGAAATCATCATTTTATAATTATATTTCAAATTTATAACCAAAATATGTTAAAAATTAGTTTATAAATTAAATGATATTTTAATTATAAAAGAACAATTACATCTTTGAGAATGATGATCTCTGAGATAATTTTTTCTTTTTTTTAAAATTATAAATGTATTTGAAACTATTAGTTTAGGAATACTCTTTTTTTAAAACATATTGGATTTTATATGAGTGTATATTATTGTTTGTTATAAATTATATAATATTACACAAATCAATTTTCACCCAATAAAATTCGTTAAAACATATTATACACCCCCAGCGCAGGTTAAACATCTACACCTCCGGTGTAGGTTAAGGATGTCCGGATTAAGTTGTAAAATTGCTTCGTATTAACACGAAAATGAAAGATTATAATTTCAAAAATTTAAAAGTAAATTTTCCTTTTCAATTTGTGATTCATGTGGAATTCAATCGGCCCGCAAAACTCAACGCTTTTGATCAAACGTTTGTTATCGCTAATTCGAGTTTTTTTTATTAGGTTTTTTTTTTTTATAATATAATGAAATTTTATTTGAATTTGTAGGTCTTGGCGCGAGTTACACGATTGCTTTAAGCAAATAGCAATAGATTCAGAAGTTAGAGCTGTTGTAATATCAGGAAATGGCAAAGTTTTCACTGCAGGAATTGACCGTAATTACTTTATTTATTTTTTTTTTGTAACTTATAACATATATATATATATAACATTTCTTTTAAATGTTAATAGTTAATCAATTATTTTCAACGAGTAATGATAATGAAGGAAAAGATTCTCCACGTAGTTCTTTTTACATACGAAAGTCAATGATTGTAAGGGAGTAAATTTAATTTGATTTTGATTTTTAACTCGGATTATTAACAGCTATTTATAATATTATTTTATGATTATCATAAAGGTGCTTCAGGAATCGATCTCATCATTAGAATTATGCGACAAACCAGTAATTGCCGCTATTCATAATGGTTGCATTGGAGCTGGTGTTGATTTGATTACAGCTTGCGATATTCGATATTGTTCACAAGATGCATTTTTTAGTGTCAAGGTTTAGTAATAATATACATTTACATTTACATAATATATATATATTATATTAATTATTATCATTTTTCTTGACATTAGGAGATCGATCTTGGACTTGCAGCTGATATTGGTAAGAAAGATAATTCCGGTTAAACTTTTTTTTTTAAAAAAAAATATTATTTCCCCACTCCTTACATTATATTTATAAATTATTAGGTACATTGCAACGTTTTCCCAAAGTTGTTGGTAATAATAGTCTTGTTCGAGAATTATGTCTAACCGGTCGAAAGTATAACTTATTTACATTTCTTTTTTTGTTTTCATTTTATTTTTTTGATTTGATCCGTATAAATTAATATAATCAATATGTTTGTTTTACAAGTTTCTCTTCAACTGAGGCTCTTGATATCGGTCTCGTGAATAAAATTTTTCAAACTAAAGAAGAAACTCTTAGTAAGCATCTTGTGATATTTATTTTCTATAACAAAATATCTAAACGTGACCATTTTTAAACTAAATAGCGGAAGCATTAAAAACGGCGAGAATCATTGCTAGCAAATCTCCAATAGCTTCATTAAGTACAAAGTAAATATTTTACATTTCTTTATTTAATTTCACCATTAATTACATTAATTAAATAATCGCATCATTCCAATTATTTATTTGTCATATATTGAAATACAAAAGGCACCTTTTAAATTTTTCACGTGACCATTCTATAACTGAAGGTCTTACCTATACTGCAGCTTGGAATGGAGCAATGCTCACTAAAAGTGAGGTAGGAAAAAAGAAATAAATATATTGTAATGTTTTTTTTTATTTAATTAATTTATTTATTTTTTTTTTTTTTACTTTCTAAAGGATCTGATGGAAGCTTTTAATGCCACCATGGAGAAAAGGAAGCCAAAATTCTCTAAACTATAATATTGTTATTTCAAATTTGATAATTTTATTTAAAACTTTTAATTTGTATTATCAACTTTTTAATAAACAAAATATCATACAAAATTGTTAAACTTTTTCATTTGCTTATTAACGAGATGAAACCATTATTTGAATAGAGAGAGAGAGAGAGAGAGAGAGAAAAAAAAAAAAAAAAAAAAAAAAAAAAAAAAAAACCTCCAAAAAAAATTTGTTACATTATCTATGTTGTGTGTCAAATGTTTGTGTATAATATTAAACTCCCTCTCCGCAAATCAATTTTTTTTTGTAGATCACAAAGATTATATAATACATCTCTTTTTTTTTTAAAAATATTTTAAATACATCAAATAATCAAAATTTCTCACTTATAATTAATAAATTTAAAGTTCACAAAAAAGTAATATTTGCCATATACGTTATAAGGCATTATAAAACTAAATAACGTAAAGAATCAAATTTCCCTAGATTTCAATGTTTGCTTTCTTACAATCCAAATAAATCTAAAATCCAACATATCCATCATCTCCTTCAGGATTACTATCAATGACATGATTCCTATTTCTGTAATTATTCTGATTATATCCATTCTCGTTTTCACCCTCTCCACTCTCAGATATTTCACCACCCACCCCTTCTGCTTCAGAAGCTACAGATTCTTCAATGTCAGCGCCAACAGCCGCAGCTGGTCCAGCGACCTGATCATTCGTATCACCAACTCCATTAGCAATTCGATTTCTTTGTTGTGCTATGACCATATTCAAATATTGTTTTAACTCTTTAACACCTTTTCCGCTGAAAACACAAAACACTTGTCTTTGATGTGGTGTGAATTCTTTGGGAGGTTGCCTGCAAAATTGTTGAACATCCGAACGTAAAAAAGCTGGTACACCAGTAAGAGATAAATGTGTTAAACGGAAACATGAATTTACTAATTCTAAAACTGCTGGTACGGTAAGGTTTACACAGTAAGACAAATGTACACGTTCCAAAGTATGTTGTACAACCCGATTTTCAATCAAGGTGATGATTGCTTGATCCGTTATAAGAGCACATTTCACCAATCCAATACGACGCAATTTAGGAAGTTGTGAAAGTTCAAATACTGATGCGTCCGTAAGTTGAGTGCAGCAAGCCAAATCAAGATATCGTAACCGAGTACAATTGCGGGCCAGTTGAGTTATGGAATAATCCGTGATACGTGAACAGTGGCCCAAGTGAAGATAATGTAAATGCTTTCCCAAACGAGTTATATGACAAACTCCCTCGTCTGTGATATTTCCACATTTTGCTAGAACGAGATTACGTAATCTGGGCGCACTATGTGAAATTTTGAGTAAAGTTTGATCGGTAATAAGTGCACAGGATGTAAGGTCTAAAATACGTAATTGTTCGTACAAGGCAGACATAGTTTTTGTAAATGATTTATCGGTAAGGTTGGTACAACAAGCAAGACGAAGTTCGCGTAATTGTGTACAATTTTCAAAAACAGGCTGGATTGCTTCATTTGTTATTTGGTGGCAATTGGTAAGATCAAGTTCAAGAAGGTGTGAACAATTCTTAGCCAAAACTACCACGGATTCGTCAGTAATGTTTTCACAACTGCTAAGTTTTATCTATTTTAAAATAAAATAAAATAAAATAAATAAATAAATAAATATATATATATATATATATACTTTTGATTTAGTTGTAGGTTTTTTTATTGGAAAAGTTAAACCTCAAAAAAAATTTTTTTTTCTTTAACTACATACCCTTCTTAAATTCCTGCACCTTGACGCGACAGCTAAAATACCTTTATCTGAAAGCTTTTTACATAAGCTCACGTTTAATCCTTGTAATCTTCGACATCGTTCACCTACTAATTCTACAACTGCATCCGTCAGATTTTCAATGTCTGATACATCTAAGGCTACCAGCCCATTTGCTTTATCTAACAATTTCAGAAGCCCATTATCCGTAAGTCTTCTACAACCTCCGAGGGTTAATCTTTCTAATCTCTCGCAAGAACTTAAACGTTGTAATATTTGGTCGCTTACATTCTCCCCCAAAAAGGAAAAATTTAAGCGACGGATGAGAAGAGCATATGGAAAGGTTTGGGAATTTCGTGATAAGGTAACTAGCAGTTTAATGAGAGAAGCATTTCCTGTGAATACCGGTTTTTGCCACAAGAGTTCGACACCACAACGGCACCAAGATTTACAAACTAAGATACAAGACTTTAGGTCGGAAGTAGAAGTAACATATTTAAAAATCTGAAAGATCAACTCGGAAGGTATAGTAGCAGCTTTAGCTAATGCGTTTTGAGAAGGTTGAGAGGGTAAGGTCTGTTTTTCTGAATCCATTGTCAGGAAAAAAATTTTCTTGATCGGAAACTATGCAGGATTTCTGTAACCTAAAACTTCTACAAACTGAACATCCGAACCTATAAAGTTCAACTTTGTGGGTTTTTTTTAAAAGAAAATAAGTATATGTTTATTTATTTAATTATATATTCCTAAAGAAAAGAAAAAGGTTACCTTTAAATAATGGAAGTCCGCTTCTATAAATGGACAATGTTTAAGTGTACATTTTGCTTTTGTTATAATGAAAAAAAAAAGTGATACACTAAAAGCACGTTATTTCCGGTCAAATTTTTGAATAGAAGTTACACAAGTTGTAGACTATCAGTTGACAAACCAATTGATATAAATAGTCTTATTTTATAAATAATAAAATAAATGTTATGTATAAGGTTGCTTGTCTAAACTCATTTTAGATTTGGCAAAACGTCTAACTATAGTTTCGCTAAATTTTTACTAAGGTTTTGATATAGTTTCGCATTTTATAAGCTTTGATATAGTTTTTTCCTTTTCCAGAATTTCGCAGATTTTTTAATAAGGTTTTAATATAATTTCGCTAATTTTTACCTTTTTCCATTTAGACGACTTGCAAAACCTCTAGGTTTCGTCTAGCAACCTTAAGTTATGTATAAATTTATTTTTAATATATTAATAAATTAAAAGTAATAATAATTAATCAAGGTTCTTAATTAATAAGATATTTATAATATATAATATATTATCATAAAAAATATTTAAATACATTAAGCTTTTAAACCAACCATTTTTATTAATTTTTTTATCCTATTTAAACATAAAAAAAATCTTTGATTTTAATTAATATTAGAATCTATAAATATAAATATTTTATAAGATATTATTTAAACATTATTTATAATAATTGTCTTACCGAAAATTTCTATTAAACTGTATTAGTGATATACTACTTAGACTAAATTATAATATCACTGTATAATATAAATGTCACTATATAGTCTGATTACCATTCTATAATTTGAATACTACTATATGGTTTGATATTTATAATCTGATTATAGCTCTAATCATTTGTAATAAATTTGGTCAAAATATACAAATTTTTTACATGTTATAAAGATATCAATGATCCAAAGATTTCAGAACTAATTTAACACCTTTTGAATTAATTCATTTTGATCTGAATCGTTATACTATCTTCTGAATCCTTATCAAATAGTTTCTTAAAATCAAATATAGTATAAATCACATTGTAGTATTCAACCATCAAATTAAATATTTCGCTTGAAATAATTATATTATCAAATAATGATTTAAGGAATTTGCCAGAAAATGATTTATTACTAGTAACATTTGATTTCTTAATATTTTGTAAATTCATCCAAAATCAGTAGATTACATCAAAAAAAATTTGTTTGTATCTGAAAGGGAACAAATTGAAAGCTGATTGTCTAGCAATTAAAGCCTTTTACCTTAATACTACTAGAACTTGTAATACTGTCAATTTGAATATCAAATATCAATTAATGCATTAGCTTAGGTTTGATTTTACTAGTCGAAATAGTCCAAATCAGCTAAAAATCAGATGGCCGATTTTAGGCTGATTTTGATACTATTTACAGCTGATTTGCCATGTTTTTTGATCAATATAAACAGGTGCTGATAGACGCTGATCAATCTCAATCAGACATGGTTATTCAGCATTAATTCAAAACTTAAATTCAACTATAAATCAACCTAAAACTGGTCTCAATTTGGTAACAATTTAGACGTCAATAGACGCTAATCGACTCTAATCGGACATAGCTATTCAGATTAAATTCAACCATAAATTAGCCTAAAATTGACCTTAATTCAGCATCATTCAGCATTAATTCGAAACTTAATTAACCTTAATTATGTATCATTCAGAATCAATTCAGAACTTAAATAACCATAAAACAGCCTAAAATTGATCTCAAGTCAGCATCATTCGGCATCAATTCAGAATTTAAATT